AGCTACCTAGTTCTCAGGTTTCCTTGTGTCTAAACTTTATCATTATTTCATGTATTTTCCCCCATCCTCAGTCTTTTAAAAATCCTCTATGTATGCTCTTTATGCCACCAGCTCTGTTCTATGCAGCACTCTCTTAAAAAGAGGAATGCTGACAGTCTGAGGTTGATTCACCTTTCTGTTCATTTTTGTACACAATGGATCAAATCCAATGTGAGGTGCCAACTTGAAGCTCACCTGCCATGGTACAGCATTTCTCATACTGCCATGTAGGTGAATGTTTGGGCTGCCTGTGGAGGGTTTTTGAATAAGAAGGTTTGAACACGCATCCTGCATTTGAATGTGTTCTGTAAAAATGCATCACAGTGCTGGTGCTGTAGCTGTGCTGTGGTCATGCAAATAAAGAAGAAAATAAATGGAAAAGCAGTATTACAAAATATACTTAAACCTACTGTGAGCCTTGCAGAGGATGCAGTACAAACTGTCTTGAGTCCTCCAGCTGAGGAGTCTGATAAAATTCAACATCCAAAAACTAGGAATTGAGAAAATTGTTTTTGTCTTTGAAGGAATAGCTTCTGATAAAAGACAGCAGGAACAGTGCAAAAGGAAATGCTTTCCTGACGTTTTTATTTGAATCAGTAAAGCAGCTCAAAACCCGGGGATTATTTGTAGAGTGGTTAATCTTTCTCAAAGCCAATCTGTGAGGGTATAAGAAAAGAAAACAAACCCCTTCAACAGTCCTAGGAAACACAGGCAGTTTGGTTCACGACCAGGAGTTTGTTGGTGCTTTGGTTGTTTGTTTTCAGAAATAGCATCAGTCCTACATTTCCAAATTCTCTATGATTTTCCCTGAGGACTTTTTCCTTGTGTCTCTGGTGTACTGGTCAAGCACAACGTTTCAGAGGGCAGTTGCACATGGCCAACAACCATCTCCCCTGGTGATCAAAAACTTATATTGTACAGCCTATCTTAAAATTCTAATTTAAGTGTTATAATAATTAGATTTACATAAAAAACAATACGAATAATATCTCTAGAAACAATGCCTTTGAGGATTTTGTTGTCTCGTACAACTTGTTTGTGGGGTGAACTGCCTGGAGTGAGTAGCTGGCAGTTGAGTATTTCTGATAATCAGCTATGCATATACAGAGTGTTTAAAGTTCACTATACATAAATATAAAACATTTTCTCTGCTGTAGTACTGTTGATGATAATTTTAAGGAACTGTCGTATTTGAAGTCATCAGGAGATGCAGATCTGTGCAGCTTTTCAAAGCAGTGAGGTATTCTTGATACAAGTAGCCCTCATCTAAACATCTCCATTAACTACTGGCCTGAAACCTCACTTTCTCTGAGTCTGGATTTTTAATAAGGTGTGCTTTTAAAGTCATCTGTCCTGAGAAGATTTGCAGTTGAACGGGCAGGTTGTCATGTAGTTACATGACAATGTTACACATTGTCACATACAATGTAACAATGTAACATGGTTATGTACAATGTTACACTGTGCAAGTGATTTTGTAAAGCGGTGAAGTTCTTCAGAAGTATGCAGGAAAAAAAACTGGTGGCCAGTTCCTTCTCTTGTGGGGGAAAGTAGGGTGTGATAAAGACACCGATCAAATTGAAAATTGTGCTCTTGGTGTGAGATCTAGTGTTTCTCTTTGATGTAGCCAGATCTGTGGACTGTGGACCTCCCTTCAATTCACATTCCTCTCATTTCAGCGATAGGGTGTTAAATGCATCCAAACAATAAAGAAAAACTTAGGGCAAAAATGTGGCTCCTAATGCAGATTCATCAGTGTAGTGATGGGATGTATGTCTGGGCATGGCTAGGAATCCTCCTTGGCTGTGGTGGGTAGGCAAGGCACTGTGTACACTGTATGTGGAGATGCAACTTGAAGCACAGCTGTAAATTGTTTTCTTGCAGCCCTGTATATTTATGTGAGTCTGGCAAGGAAAACAGATGCTGTATGTATTTTATTCTGTTGTGTGATAAATAGCTAGTTTTCCTCAGTGTTTGCATATACCTCTTTCATTCTCCAGAGTCCTCTTCTGTTTTTCTCTTTAGAATGCCTTTACAGAGATGTGCTGTGATGATCCTGAGCTTCATCGCAGTCCTTGTTCGTACACTTACACTTTCCAACTGAGGCCCTGATCCTGCAATATGAATACAGTGATACTTTATGAGGAACCTCAGGAGTGGATCAGGTCTTTATTTTTCTAGCAATAGTAATTCAGCTTTCTCAGACATTAAAGAACAGGCTATAGTCCCTTTGAAAATTTTTATGGATGCATTTCATCTTGGAAATGTGCCACCAACGTCTGTCTATTGCTTTGTGATATAGTTCTGACTCCTGAGACATGTTCTTGCTGAAATACTTCCAAAATAAAACTCTTGCTGTCTCAGCTATATTTGGATGAACAGTGGGATGAGTTACGGTTTATCAGATCGGCTTTCAGGACTTGCTCTCTAGTGAGGCCCTGAGGTTTCAGAGAATGGAAAGTCTGTACAGGTCTTTTACAGCATTTTCCATCTCTTCTACCCAGACCACCTTTTCTTTAACATAAAACCACAGTGTTCTGCTTCCCTGGGCAACTCATTCTTTCTGTCTCTCCAGTCCTTCAGCTTACATAAAAGGAATCCCTTTTAAATGCCCATTCCAGGTCAGATTTATGCTACCAGGTATCATTGATTTTGATAAATATTTTTATTTGGTAGTGCTGGAAAGCCAGCAATCAATATATTTTTGTCTCTTTTTGTGAGGTATGTCTGCATTTTGATGGGTTGAAAGTAGGGTAGTGGTACAGTGCCTTGAAATATTTCAGCTCTTTTTGAGGTAAAATTTCTTTCACAATTTGTTGTTCACATCAAAAAGTGGGTATTTATACTTTTCATCTGAGTCCTTAATTCAGAAATTGTCATATAAGTTGCTTTAGTATTAGATGTATTTATACAATTTTCTTTGTTAGACAAAATCCTTAATTGCATGCATTTCTTGGTTTGGGCATAGCTCCATGAATTGCTTTAGAATGTTTCTTTTTTAGCAAGATTATTAAGAACTGAAAGTAGCCATCCTCTGCAGTACAATTGTGTTGGTATTTCCTTCTTTATTTCTGTGGGCAAGGTAAAGCAGAACCCAGCCTAGTATGTGCAGTGCTTGCTGGTCACTGGTTTTGGGTTCTGTTTTCTTGAGGCTTTCAGCACATTTTAGTCATGCACAGCACACTGTCTCATTGACTTCAAGTCCATTTGATGCAGAGTTAAATGTGTGTAAATTTCAGTAACCACTGGTGTATGGAGCTCTACAACCACACTGCAAAGATACTTTGTAACAAATAATTAAAAAAAAAAAAAAAAAAAAAAAAACAAGCTGAAGGCAAAAGGAAAATTTTCAGTTCCAAATGTGAAGAAAAAGCATTGGTTTTATTTCCGCTGTCATTAAAAAAAGATAATAGGTTAAATATGTATAAGAGAGTAGACAGGAGTTATTTTAGGGTGTTCTTTATTTCCCTATTGGTTCAGATACTATAATAATATTATCAACAACAGACTAGATCCAGGTCTCATTAAATTAATACTACAGAAAGATAATGAGAAAATTGCCAAGTAATGAGAAAAAACCAGAAGTCTTAAAACTTATTAAGTAATTGTGGCTGGTGAGCAGTCTTTCTAGTCAAGGCGCCTGGGTCTGAAAAATGACCCTGATAGTTTGCCAGCAGACATTATCTGGTAATTTGTGTTAAACTCAATTTTTGTAGAAGGAAGAGTGCAAAGCAGAATGTGACCTCAGTGGAGCAGGAGGGATCACTTAAAACTCGTCTAGCTGAATCTACTCATAGGTATAAGAGCTTTGGAAAATGCATCAAAAGCTTTAAAGAAATAAATGAGTAAAATAATTGCCTCTTACAATATAAACAAACAATAAAATACACGTAAGCAATGAATGCAAGAAGAACATGTATGATTTTGTAGGTAGTCAGAGATTTATGCTCCAATAAAAGATGAAAGTGTATAATGGATGAAATATGACCGTTCTGTGAGAAGAGAGAATAAGTAAAAGTAAAGAAATGCACCTTCCAGTGGAAAAATGTTTGCATTCGAGGGCTGTGTTCTTCCTTGTACCGAGTTCCGTCACGTGGCCCAGCTTTAGGTTCATTTCTTCACTGTCAGAGATTTTTAGTTGAGGTTGAAGAGAGTACGAAAAAGAAGAAAAATACAAAACATGTTTATGCTCTGGAGAGTTTCACAAATAATTGAACAAACTTCTATTTGTGTAGTGCTTTCAAGTATGACTTTTCTAACATAAATTACAATTACAGGAATCTTTGATTGCTGTACAGTTATTACTGAAAGGGGCATCTGGAAAATGTCTTCCATTAGCTGTGCTTTTTGGCAGAGGTTATAAGCAAGCATGGTCAGTGTAATTAAGCTGACAAGTGTTTAAGATACTGTGTTTGTTTACTGCATGTACTCTCCTTCAATAAATATTAGTATGTCTTCTAAATCCTCTACTCTAGCTGGTGACCTTGACAACATTTAAACTGTAGTATAGCATGTAACACAGCTATATGAGGGGCCAGGCAGTTAGCACATCGCTGTTGGCGATAGTCACGTGCAATACATGAGCAGCAACAAATCTCTTTGGGAAAGCTCAGACTGGTAGAGAAGGCAAAATACCTGGACCTCAGTGATTTTTCCCAAGTAAGCTATAAAATTCCTTTGGAGGAAGTCAGCCTGGGGCCCTAAACTTGCAATGCTTACAAAATTTTCTAGGTTTTTGGTGTGGATGTTTTCTTCCTTTTTGTTAAGCATAAAAGTAGGATTTGTGAGAATAAGGCACCCGAGAATCAGTTTTACTGTAGAATTTGGGTACATGCTGGACAGTGATCTCTTAATCAGGTGAAATTTAGCAAGAGTTAAGACTGAGCAGCAGCTTTCTAACTCACTTTATTTGATGTCAAGTTTGCAGTGCTTTTTTTAACTTCATTTACTGTTTTATTTAGACACCTCTTTATGTTGTAAACCATGGTGAGACTGGACCAATCCGATGTAACAGGTGCAAGGCTTATATGTGTCCTTTCATGCAGTTTATTGAAGGTGGTAGAAGATATCAGTGTGGATTTTGCAATTGTATAAATGAAGGTAAGTGATGTTTCTCTGATCTGTGATTCCTGTAAGTCCAGTAAAACTAAAAAGGAACCATACATCTGAAGTGATTTTCTTGACTTGCTGTCATGAAACTGCAGTAAGGAGGCCTATTTCTCAATATCAAAACAAAGCAAAAAACACTTTAAAAAAATTGGAAGCACTTTTTCAATCCAATTTTTAAAAATTTATAAAAAACCAGTGTTGAATTGTGAAGTCCAGTGTGATGTGATCAAAATTTATTTTAAAATACTACATCAACATAGGATACAAGCTGTCTGTATTGCTATCCCAAAGCAACTTTTGTGTAGAAAAATTAAGAAATGTAGATGTTCAGAAAAGACCAAATATTTAGAAGCATGTTAGGCTGTCCGTGGCTGCGGATGCAGCGGTTAAATAAGCTATTAATCTTACTGTGACAACTGTTGGTTTTCACAGAAGATACCATGCCATATTTGTTCAAGTGTGCTGCATGTGACTCATAACTGTTCTTGTGCTCTTGGCTAAATCCCAGCTCTTTGCCAGAAGTAGCCTTTCTAGACATTTGTATCAAGTTGGATTTCCTCAGCTGGATCGCAGTGCTATAGTGCTTTCCCTAATACAGTAATATTTTCAGCTCTGAAACAGGAACCTTGACAGGCTAACTGCAGCTTCTTTTCTGCCCGAGGCTCAGATGTTTGAGCAAGCATAGCAGACAGCAATTTTCAGAGTTTGTTAGCAATTTAAACTTGCATAAAGAGAAATTTGAATGCATTATGAACATTTTAAGAAAGTATCATTTTCGGTTATGCTTTGTATGAGTACAGTGTCCTTTATCCAAGAAGGAAATCACTTGGAAAGAAATAAAATAAAAAATGGAGACCTTAGATGTCCTACAAATTAGGAGGGTGTTCTGTACTTCCCCCCCCCACCGCTTTTGACAGGCACAAATTGTGAAAAATAATTATCCTAAATGTACGTCAATTGAGAAAAAATAAGCTAAAATCCAGATATGACCTTCCCAACTGTGACCAGCCTTCAGACTAACCACATATAAATTGTTGGTGACAAAACCCTTGGTTTCTTAATGTTTGCTTGGGAATTTTGCATCTTTTATCTGTAGCTATAGGAGGTTCCCAGTGCAAAGGACTGAATGCAGTTTGCTGTACAGTAGGCCAGGGATGTGAACGTTGCAGAGTGGTATTTTTACATAAAGCAGCATAGGCTTTTGAAAAAGTGCCATTTTTAACTCCAGTGACTTGAATTTAGCTTTGAGGAGACACTGTCCACTAAGAAAAGAGCCATCGTTTAGCCTGTATCCTGAGGATAGCAGACTCCTGCCTGTGGAGTAACCTGAGTCAGTTTGCTACTTGAACTTAAGGGATACTGTTGACATGTATGGGGGAATATGCCTTGTTCTCCAAATGTAAGAGGACCTGGACTACCAGAATATAGATTTTGTTTTCTCAGATGGATGTAGGGATAAAACCTGGCTGAGTGCTTATGCTCTTCCCTTTCTCAGTAACAGAGAGGGCTACATTACCAGGTCATATGTGTGGAATGGAGTTGTTGGGTTGTTCCCCTCTGCTACAAAACAAAAACTTTTTTTTTCTGTTCTTGTACTGATTTTCAGTGCCTCCATTCTTCTTCCAACATCTGGACCACATTGGCCGGCGGGTAGACCACTATGAAAGGCCTGAGCTATCTCTGGGATCATATGAATATGTTGCTACTTTGGATTACTGCCGAGTGAGTATCTTCAGTGTGCGAATTGTTATGATTTGATGCCAGCACAAACAGAATCCTATAAATACCTACCTTAGAGTAAGCATGCTTAGAGGCTGAAATATCAGCCTGGGAACATTTTAGAAAATGTGCAGATGTGGAGAATTTAAGCTTACGATAATATGATTTGTTCTTTTGTGTGGAAGTATGAATATGAGCCTAGCAAGTAAGAGTAATAAGCAGTGCATCAATGTCCTGGATCACCAGTCCTCAATTGGGATGCTGGTTTGGTCCTAGCAAGTGTGTAGAAGATGTTTTGGGAATACAGATCAAATTCTATTGCACTGTTGCATTTTAACACCATGTCTTCTGTTAATTTTGAGGACAGGCATACACCTAAATTGCCTTCTCAGTGCAAACCTTAGCATGGGAATTTGAATCTTTTCCTGACACGTAGTTTTAGTGTTCTGACCAGTAAGTTACAGTGGAATGGGTTCTGTTTCCTAATACTAAATTACTTAAAAACTTGTTCCAAAGCCCACTCAAGCCATTGGAAATGTTTGTAGTTGATTTTATTAGAGAGCTATATTTGACAATTCCCATAGCATAAATTAGTCAAGCTTTTTGAATTTCCTTACAGAATTTTCCAAAATTCCCAGTGTGGCTTCATCTGCCTGCACTACAGATGTATTTCTTGGTTCTTGCTGAAGTCAGGTAGAATTGTCTTTCTGTCAGTGGAATGAGTTCATGGTAATATTAGGAGAGTAAGTAAGTTGAATCTGACAAAGTCTTGAAGTGTGTGCCAGTAACTTCCTCAGGTGATCAAATTCTTGCTGGTATGAATTAATGAACTGTTGTTGTTCAGTTCTGCTTTCTCGCAGGGATACTGCTCTAAAATCCAATGAAATAGCTGAGATTGCTTCTATGGATTCCATTGAGATCTGGGTTAAACCCCAGATCACAAGATGGCAACTCAGTGACAGTAGTGGGCATTACATGTGTAGCATGAGGGATACCCAGTTACATGTAGCTCCATCAGTGTTGGTTCAGCTTTGCTGATTTCTGCAGCTAGACTTTTGAAAGCGTGTGTACTAAGTAGCTTTGTGCCAGCTTTAGTTCTTCTCTCCTCTGGAGTTGTAACCCTGCATGACACATTCACCAGCACAGTGACTTTCGGCATATAGTTCAAATCAGGGAGTTTCTGTGATAAATCATCCACTGTGGTTTGTCTTCATTTTGCAAAAGCCTGTTTCACAGATGAAGTAGAATGTTAGAAAAAAAGAATTTGTTACAAAATTAGCACACACAGTGGAAATGCTAAGTTTTAGAGAAGTTAACATTAAAGTTAGAAACGTTTAATTCTTTTGTAAATCAGTTTAAGACCAAAACTGAAAAATCATTTCCTCTTGCGCTTATCAAATGACAAGGATGAACAGCTACAAAAAATGTTAACAAATAACAGCTGTTCTGCATTATTGTGCTCCTGCTAAGCGGATGTGGCAAGAGCACAAGTTCTCATTTCAGCCATATATTTGTCAGAAATTATGCAGGGATTCTTTACAAACAGCAGCGTGCTATGAGAAATTTCATAGTGTTTGATACGGTTTATGAAACTAGAATCCAAATACAGAAGACAGAAGAGCTTTTAAAAATACTGTCTGGTTTTAGTTGACAAGAGTTAATCTTGATTTACATGATTCATATGAGGTGAGATCAAGGGTATAATGATTAGCGTTAAGTGTTCCGAGACTACAGTAAGTCATAATTCAAAGGACAGACGATTTTTTTCTTACACAAAGTTTTCTGAAGTCTATTTGTTGCAAGTGTGGTTGGTTAGTGGTCAGAAGTCTTTACATGAAGGCTATGAAGCACCGCATGTAGCAATAATGGAAGGGTTGTCCTGAGATCAACACCAACTAATAACTGCATTGTCTCAGTGACGTAGGCTTGCCACAAGACTAATATCACTTTTCCTACCAATGATGGCTACTGTTGCTGTCTACGCTCTGTATGATCTTCCTCTCCTGGGTCCATCTGTAAGCATGACATGGCTTTATTTAAAACTAAAACCAAAACCTTCATCATCGTATTACTTACAGAATATTGTGACAGTGTCGTACACTTTGTGTGCGTTTACATAAGACTGTGGCTAAGAAGCTGTGCCCAAAGGAGTCCATACCAGCCCACGTCAGTGCTGCACATGTAGCAGTTGCATACTGTGAACATGATGCTCTCATGCTTTAATTATCTTAGAGAAGACCAGCTTATTCCTGAAAACACAGCTTTCTTAGCTGTTCAGAACGCACTGGGGCATGAGAAAGCAAGACAGCCAGCCAGACAGGATGCAGATGATCAATGCTTAGTACTGCTAAGGACTGAGATATTCTATTTCTGGTTCAATACTTGGGTCGTGTTTTCTGTTTCCAGAATGGTTAGAAATCACTTAACAAAACCAAATTGAAATATTCCTATTAGCAAGATTATTGTGTGTAAAAATCCAAAGACAAATTTGTTTAAATAACTGAATTCCATTAGAAGATGTTAGTATTAAAACAATTAAACAGTTTAATCAACTGTTGCCCTTTAAATACTGTGTGCTAGTAGGATGCTACTTTCTGGTCATACTGTTTTATTCCAAGGGTGGACCTTACCAATCCATCATCTTTCTGTCATGATTACTATTTTTAATCCACAGCATTCTTCAGATGACTGAACACTGTAGGTAGATTGCCTTACTGTACCATTTGCAAATCTTTTTTGACGGGGCACTGTCTAATTTTCCCTGTTAATGGTATTTTTTTCTGTAGAATAACAAGCCTCCAAATCCACCTGCTTATATCTTCATGATTGATGTATCATACAGAAATATAAACAGTGGCCTTGTTAAACTCATATGCGATGAGCTGAAGACTCTTCTCGATAAACTTCCCAGGTAAAGAAACATAAATGTGTTTGGCTTAACTTCCTGTGCTACAGTTATCATGCAGCTGTGCGGGAATTCAGGAAAGCAGGAAATGTCACAATTTACAATACAAGCATTTTATAGGTGACAGTGACCAAATGTTAGTTTGTTAATTTTAACATTGCTGGCAATTTTTGAGAATCTTAAATTGATGTCTGGGTTTACTGCTGTGCAAACAGAAAGCATCTGTTGAACTGATTGCACATGCAGCATTCTTTCTTTTCCTTTCGTGCAGTGAACTCTAGTGGTGTTATTAATGAAATCCCAGCTTGTAGTTTTGACTTGCTGCAGTTCCCATGCTGGGAATTCACCCTGTGCTCAGATTTCTGGGAGTCCAAATTCTTTAAGAGAAAAGAATTCTTGGTATCAAAGCAATATGAAAAGGGGCACTGCTATAAAGATGCGTGGCAGAGAAGCCTGGAAGAGGATGAGGATTGAGAAGTTAAAACTAGCAAATGGATTGAGCCAGGTGGCTCCAAGACCTCTTGCTCAGAGGGTTTTGTTCTTTTGCAGACTTGTAGCACAGCAGAAAACACAGTGTTTGCTTGCTTGAAATGTTAAGATAAACATTTTCAAATTTACTTATTCTAAACCAGGAGCCTGACTATTTAGAGATAGATTTAGAAACGCATGTATAGAAATTATGCCCACGAGCTCAGAAAGTCAGGCTAACTAGTTGTGCCAGTGTGATTTTTAGACACATAACTTAAAAACATTTGAACATGTGTGATACTGAGATCTCATTTTGAGACTTGAAGAACAGTGTTGTGTGTTGGCTGCACAGGTAAGCAGCTGCTGTGTTTGCAACTGATCTTTAAAATTATGAAGAAAAATGGGGCTGTGCAAAGCGTGCAGACCATCACAGATCAGAGTGCTGTTAAAATTGTCCTAGAGGCAATGCTATGTAAGAATGCTATGTAAGAACTCTGGGACCAGTGGATGATGCAGCTATTTCTCTTGTGAGTAAGAAAGTGCTGTATGTCCTGAGTTCCTGAATGATCTCTGTTAATAGTGTCACTAAGAAAATAGTAGTGTCTGAGTGCTTGAAGTGTTCAGAAAAGTGCACTCAGAAGTTATACCTCTTAGTGAGTTGTAGAGTATCTTGGAGAAATTATTTAAAATACTTCTTTATGGAATGTTTTCAATATAGAATATTGATTTCTCTTAGATCAGAGCAGCCCCTTTCTCATCCAGCACAGTCTCCATAAAACAGTCGTGGATTAACATTCCGTATTGACGTGAATATTGAAAATTATAGATGAGAAAAATCTTTTCCCTCCCAAGCTGAATTTTTTTTGATGAAACTTGTGAAACTAACAGAAGGTGCTACTGCACATGTAATTGGGACCAATTTTTTTAATAGGATCACCTTTTGCTACACTGAGGGCTGTAAACCTGGGAAGGGTGCAATTAATACTAATAGCGATGCTGCTGCTAATCGCAGAGTAGCTCCTGCTTAGAGGAGGGATAATTAATTACATCTTCTTGGTGGTTGTTCTCCTTGTTGCACCTGATACAGCCAGCCATCTGCAGCAGCCTTGCATTTCAAGGCCAGAGTTTCAAAGTTGTAACTGTCGTTTTTTAATTTTTCTCACAGAGAAGAACAGGAAGAATCCTCAGCAATTCGAGTTGGTTTTGTCACTTACAACAAGGTCCTCCACTTCTTTAATGTGAAAAGTAACTTAGCTCAGCCTCAGATGATGGTGGTCTCAGACGTTGGAGAAGTTTTTGTTCCTTTGCTGGATGGCTTCCTTGTTAACTTCCAGGAATCACGATCTGTTGTTAACAAGTAAAGTACAATTATTCCATATCTGAATAAGATCTAGATGCTATAATAAGCACTTTTTTCTTTTAGCTAGTTGTCTTGGAGAGTCTGGGCAACAAGCATGTGCTTGTTGAAATGCTTCAGAAGTCACTGGATGCTTGAAGTCCTGCATTTCCCTCTCTGAGGCAAAGCGAAAGTGCTATCAACTCCACAATGCTGAATTTGGAAGCCTATTTAGGCCAGCTCTAAACCATGCATCATTAGCTGTGCCATTTCAAAAACGGGAGAGAGCTGTGCCTTTGTGCCACGTTGCATGTTTTTCCTTCTATGTATGTGATCAGTACCTTAATGTGTAATCCTTTATGTTGTCAGCTTTGGAGTAATGCAATTCAGTAGAACTTTAAAATTCAAAACGAGATTGAACAATCAAAATTCTTTTTTAATTTGCTTGGAAAAGATGAAAAACATCTTCCTCTGTGAAGACGTGGTCTGGTACATTTTGGGGGGTTATCAAAAATACTAAGCAGTTGAGACATTCATCCTTTCCTCTTCTGTAGCTTGTTGGACCAGATTCCTGAAATGTTTGCAGACACTAATGAGAGTGAGACCATCTTTGCTCCTGTTATCCAGGCTGGCATGGAGGCGCTAAAGGTTAGAATGTTCCTCTCTCAAACAGAAGCAGCTCTTTAATTAGGACTGGGCTTGATAAGCTACCTAAATTCCATTTGCTGAAGGGCAGTAATGAGTCCTCCTACAAACTGCAATGGAAAAGAGAAAAATGACTGTTTCCAGCATTGATGTTCCATTATTCTAACAGCACATATGAACTTTCTTAGTTGAAATGAAAACACTGATTGGCACATCTGTTTTCAAATTCTTCTCGAGGAAAACAGGTCCCACAAGAGTCTGTTCCATATTGGAAGGATGTTTAGGGAAAGATGGAGAGCAGGAGCTCTTTTTTTTGTTCAGTATTTGAGCGAGAAAAAGGTGTTTAGTTACTACAAAATCATTAGATACTTGGGATGTTTGCACAGATTTGTTGTCTCTGTATGTTTGAATGGCAGATTAAGAACTGGAGTAAGATACAGCAGCTTTATTCTGCCTATTCTCCAGCTTCTGCTGACTTTGTACAAAATGAGGTATTTATGACTACAGAATTGAGTGGGGAGTGGGAGGGTTTCTACTGAACTGCCAGCTTCTCACAGCATGCATACATCTGAAAATGAAACTGTGGATCAAATGCATCCCCAGCAGCTTTCTGTATGTCGGGGATAGCCCTCGAAATGCTGACATTTCTGTGGAGTTCTGCCATTAAAAGAATGACACCACAAGATTTGTAGGGACAGAAAAACAGCCAGAGTTGTTTTCCAGTCGCTGATTTATCTGTGAGCTGTGTACAAACAAATCACAAACTGTGAGTAAAGAAGTCTGTTATACCAAAATTACACAGCATTTCTCAAACTTGTTTCCTAAATATTTATTTTCTTCTTATTCATAGTAGCAGAAGGTGTATGTGCAGAACATTTGGTTACCAATTCTATCAAAATGCTCTTTCTTGGTATTTGACCTCTGCAAAACAAACTTAAATGTGAATTCTCTTTTACTGCTGCTCCTAAAAGTTGTCAAGTAAGCTTTTTTATTAAACTCAGCACTTGAAAGTGATAATTTGCAAGGATGTTCACTGTAAATTACGAATACGCACATACATGTGTTCAAGAAAGCTAATCTTGTCTCAAAAGAATGAAATGGATTCTATTGCTCTTCAGTATCAATGCATTTTTTGAAATGGTAATTTGAGACAGTTTCCCAAAAATTCCTGATGGATGTTACTAGTAATGGGTGTGTGCTCAGTCAGTCACTCTTTACAGAAGGCTTTGTAGAAGTTACCAAAAAAAAAACCTGGTGTTCGTAATTAAAAACTACAATGCTTGAACTAGTAGGGGTGAAATTTCATCTCTGTTAAAAGTAAGATACTGTCTTTGATTGCATTTCTGCCATAGCAAACAAATTTCTACTTTTCCCAGAAGAATGCCATGGCGTATTTTGAGATGTGGACTAATCTTGTGCGCATCTTTAGATCTGGAGGGGAAAGAGTCCCGAAGCAGAGTAGTGTCGGTAGTCTCAGGTATTGCATTTTTAAACTAGATGTGTTGGTAAGCCTGGAGCAGGAAAAGAACAATTACTCCCTTTCCTTCTTCTTTCCTTTCACCCAGTTTAATGCTCAACGAGTTCAGGTGCCAATTAGCGATCTCAATAACGAGTGAAAAACTATTTCTTAAATTTTGGTGGAAAAGTTTGTTACAGTACATAGGTGCCTACGGTACTGCTGCTGTTCTCTGGAATTCAGGTTTTCCTGTCAGCAGATTGCCATCCCAGTTAGCAAATATCATTGCCTCATTATAGCTGTCGATAAGAATTGAAAACTTCGGCTAAAATTGGTATTCACTTTGTTTCTTCGTGAAAGGAGAAGTGCAGCACAAGTTCTGCTGCTTCTATTTTTAGTGTAGGTTTGAATGCAGAATCTTGTACAGGAGGGTAGTTGTCACTCTTTAAAAACACAATGACCTGAACTGAAATAAATGTATTTTCTGTTAAATTACATTTCCTTTTAATTAATTGTATCTAATTTAAAATCCTGTAGGAGAGGTACTTCTTGTACTCATTGAGATTTTAGCTTCCTATGCAGAAATTACTGTTCTAATGCATCATCCAGCACATCTGTGTTAGACTACATTATTTACTGACATAAAATTCCCAGCTTTGGGAATCCATCAAGTGTAAAGACTCCAAATGAATTATTTAGCTCTGAAGAACCTTTGCAAGAAATGTTACTGTTCTAAGAGAAACAAGAGAGTCTGAAAACTAGGCTTGTTAATCTCAGCAGTAGATTCAATGCCTATATGGGTGTCTTTGTAACAGGCTGCAGAATGTGCTGGGAAACTGTTTATCTTCCACTCTTCATTGCCAACTGCTGAAGCACCGGGAAAACTGAGAAACAGAGATGACAAAAAGCTACTCAACACAGATAAAGAAAAGGTATTTATATGTATAAAGGAAATCCTCATTTATAAAGGAAATGCAGATAATTCCACCCATCAAGTCTGCTACCTACCCGTTCAGTGAGTTAGTTCAGTAAGAATATGAAGTTTTTGATGCATATGCATATCAGTGGAACGTATGGGCAGGGGCAGTGTGGATTTATTCAGATCCACATCTTCTCACTTGAAACTTCCATCATTTTTATTTTTCAGGAGGACATTTGGATTGTGAGTGGTTGCCAACAGTATCTAATGTTACTGCATTTCTGTTTTTTAATTTCGTGCAGACACTCTTCCAGCCTCAGGTGAACTGTTACGAGTCCTTAGCCAGAGACTGCGTGGCTAATGGCTGCTGCGTGAATTTGTTCCTCTTCCCAAATCAGTATGTGGACATAGCTTCCTTGGGTCTTGTCACCATGTACACTGGAGGCACACTGTACAGGTACAACAATTTCCAGGTAAGTGGTGCAAGTTCCCAACTTGTCAGCTAGTAACAGCTGGGGACTGCTTGTTTTTATTTCAAAGTCTTTTTTGGCAGTTTATCTGTAAACTGTAAAGTAACCATAGAAAATTTACTTAGCAGAAATGGCAGGTCATGCTAAAACTGAAGTGCTGAAATTGTAATTTTACTTTTGTATAGATTGGTCGGCACCTTAAAATTGAATTGACTTACCTAAGTATGCTGACATCTGCAGGGAAGTCCATTACTCTGTACCTTTAGATAAAAATGCTTGCAATAAAGACCAAAATAAAGTCACAACACTACTTGTTTGTTTTAAATGTCAGGGAAATATTTATGGGAAATACAGGACTTCCCTTGTGTCAGGAGCTGAGCGACAGGAGCATTTTTTGTAAAGTGCACAAGGCTACTCTAATTCTTAAGGCCATACCATATAAACTTAGCTTGGATGGACATTACTGGAGATAGGTGTGACTGAACAGAAACTCTGCATGTCTAAGCCTGGTGATGAACTGATGGATACTTGCACAGCTCTGTTCCTGTTAATAACGTCTCTATTAAAGGAAAAGAGAGATGTAATCCTGAACAGATGTGATGTCAGGGAGGGGGAGTGTTGGGTTTCTGCTCGTTTGCTGCCACCCAGTGGTGAACTGCAACTGTTCATTTGCTTCACCTTTCTAGCTCATTTCTGATAGCCCGCAGTTCCTAACTGACCTCAGGAGGGACATTGAGAAAAAGACGGGATTTGATGCAATAATGAGGGTTCGAACAAGTACAGGTAATGGTACCCGTTGGGAATCAAAATAAATATGAGATAAATATTTATGAGAATTCTAAGTAATACAGTGCAAGAAGTGTATACAAACTTGTAACAGCAGGCTGCCCATTTTATCTTCATTGTGTACCTTTTGGAAAGTACAGACTGAGAAAATGGCTGTGTATCCCCTTACTGTGTACGTCTACGCAAATTTGCCAGTCAGTCCTGATCATTGTGCATGCAGCCTAAAATGCAAAGCTGGTTTGCCCAAAGTGTGGTTTGCCCAAAGCTTACATGTGTTTTCATTTTCTAAATACTTCAAATTAAAGTAATGCTTCTGCTTTTTGACCATTAGTTCTTACTTTCAAATGCAAGTATTTGGGGAGAGCATAAACACACTGAGTGGCCCAGTGAGTAATGCCAAAGGCTCTGGGGGTCCCTGAGTCACTGCGCTCCTCGATGGCCCACACAGATTCACTTCTTCTCCTACCCAATGGAGAGAAAATGCCACCAGCAAGGAAGATTGGTGGGCACTGCACCCCTGAGGCGGCACACCCTTGAGGGAAAATAGTTGGTGTTTCATTAAGTAAAATTGAAGTTAGAAAACAGTATCCTTTTTATTTGTAAATTGTAAAAGGATGTTGTGTGCTTGCTTTTTCATCTGGCTGTAGGCTTCAGGGCTACTGACTTCTTTGGGGCTATTTACATGAACAACACTACAGATGTAGAAATGGCAGCAGTTGACTGTGACAAGGCTGTGACAGTAGAGTTCAAACATGACGACAAACTGAATGAGGACAGTGGAGCCTTAATTCAGGTAAAAATGCATTGTGTCATTTATTGACACTGTGAGCAAGATTTTTTTTTTTAGTATGACTGCAAAATGTTACACTGTAGGACTGATGGGAGTGATGCATAGCGTGCACATTTGCTGGTGTTGTAGTACCACTAATAATGTTTAATTAACTCGCCAAAGAATGCTACCTTGAAATGCCAGGCTGTTTCAAAGCTAGTGAAACCTGTATTTCCCTTCTCATTCCACAATATGGGATCCCAGCAGTTCCTGGAAATGTAAATTGGGCAATAATTAAAACTGACCTTTCTGTGCCTGAATTGCCAGTGCTTGAGATACACTCATACCTAGCAGAAGATTCATCCTAACCATTATCAGATAATGCGAGGTTGCTGTGTACTGTTCTAGATGTTTTGTCATGACCTCATGACCTTTTGCTATTTTAATGACAGAAAATGTTTCAGCTTGAAAAGTTTCACAAAAACTGTAGAATTATCTGAACTTTTGTTTTTAAGCTCCTTAGCTTTTATCATGCTCCCAGGTTAGCAGTTAATCCTTGTATGAATACAGCACTGTGAAACATCCACTTTGGGGTGTCTGATGTCACTTACTGGAGACCTGGTGTAGCAGCGATGACGGAAAAAGTGCTTGGCGTATGGATGTTGCAGTAGGGTTGTTGAGAGTTTCATATGAGAGTTTCTTGTGGAAGATGCAGTGCAAAGCTGACCAGTTAGTTTAGCTGCAGTTGGTGTTATGCCCTGCATGTTTTGGCTTGTATCTGCAGACAAGGTGATGAAATTAGTTTTAATTGTGGTAGGAAACAAACATGTGCCAGGCAGATGCATGCAGTACCAGTGAAATGTTAGCAGTTGGGAAATCTTGAGTGCAGTTCCTTTACTTTTCATTCTTGTGAAGTTTTCCTACATGCTAACATTATATAAAGGTAGAATTGAAGTCATAAGCAATTTCTTCAGTCATCCCTCAAATTTTACTATCTAAGACAATGGAACAGGCAAGATATAAGGGTGGATATAATAGGACCCCACTTAGGCTTACCAAGATTAGCAAGTTTTTCTTCGTCGCTTTTGACAAAAGCTAAGATGAGCAGAGTACGTCTCAGCAAGCTTCTGATCTCTGATACAGTGTGTTTTCAGCTGCATTTCTTTGGGACATTTTTCTTGATGGCATATTCAGGTTTGGTGTACAATGAAGTGGTCTCTTGTTTTCAGATGATACCAGCAGAGCGTAGCATGAGAAAGCACTAAGCCTTCCCGACAGCCATCATTATTGTCATACTTTTAAGACTAATAACTTTATAACGCATTTACACGTCTAATATATTTACATAAAATTTTGAATCTGTTGCTCCTTTGGTTCAATAGTACTGAAGCAGCACCAAAAAGCCAGGCTGTTCCTCAAAAGTAATTCTGTGCCTTTTGTAGGCAGCTCTTGCATGATGATTATTATAATTTTTATTATCACATTACGATCATAATTATATTATAAATCCTATAATAGTAATAATATAAATCATAAAATAGTTACGATTATTATATGGTTTATATTATGAATATTATGATTTTTGTTTTAACATCGCAATGAAAGATATCTGGCTCCTCTGTTGCAGTGTGCTGTCCTCTACACATCAGTAAGTGGGCAAAGACGACTTCGCATACACAACATAGGCTTAAATTGTAGCACCCAGTTAGCTGATGTCTACAAGACTTGTGAGACCGATGCACTTATCAACTTCTTTGCTAAATCAGGTAAAGTCAGAATAAGTTGTTTGTTTTTTTTCTTCTCTAAGCTGGGAATGAAAGGAGGTGGAGTGATACCTAGTGGGAAGTCATTTGTAACTTGCTACTGACATCTCCCTTAAGAGCGACAACATTGGAAAGAGAACTAGATCGTAAATTTTAGATATATGTGTCCCAAAAGAAATGCCTGGGAAGGCTCTTAGAAACAGGTAATGCACAAAAGTGTATAGGCACAGTATTATTTTGTTAGAATTTTTGTTTGGTTTGAGGTGGGTTTGTTGTTGTTGTTTTTTGTGAAAATTAATAAATTCTCTAACATGCTTTAAGAGCCAGAAAACAATGGCCATAGACATAAGAACTTTGCATTTGTTGTGCAAACAAGTAACAGAACCTGTATCAGGCTCTTCTGTTCTTCTGTCTTTGTAGCCTTTAAAGCTATCCTAAGCCAACCACTGAAGGTTGTCAGAGACATCCTGGTCAGTCAGACAGCACACATGCTGGCGTGCTACAGGAAGAACTGTGCCAGCCCCTCAGCAGTGAGCCAGGTAAAGATCTCCCCATGTCAGCCCCTCTATGCAACAACCACGCTTGCACCACCAGCAGTACCAGAAAAGAATATTTCAGACATACATACTTTTTGTTTTCTTTCAAATATGATGACAGTGGGATGCAGTGGTAGCAACATACAGAGGCTGTTGTTTTGGGATGAATGACAGTGCTGCAGAGGAAGGTGACAGCTGTACCACAGAGATGCCAAAGCCTTTTCTTCCTGGTAGAATTACATGCTAACTCTTAGAAGCTTTCACTTTTTTCTTCCATTCCTGCAACAATTGTAGTGGTCTGATTTTTTGACATGTAACAACTGTTACTGTCAAAAGACAGAGATAACCCAGTTAGCATCCTGAATTTGCGTATAGATATATCAAGAATGCACTACTGCTAAAAATCTGACATTGAGACAGGAACATACTCCTACCAAAAAAAAATCTATGGTGATTAAAATATGACTTCTTAATTCCTTTATTTACCAGCAGGCAGTAAGAAGCTGTGGGTCCCTCATTACTTTTGTTCCACACTACTTGAAAATTCTCTCAAATGAAGACACCTCTTATTTTCAAATGCTGTCACATTTAGTAATCTACTCACTCTTTTTACAAATTCAGAGCATTTGGGGGTGTCACAAAACTAACAAACAGTAAGGTAAGGTGCTTTCAAATCCTTTTAGCAGCTGTTCCTGACACAAACCTTGTTCCAGTTCAAAGGACAATCCTCATCTTTGACTTGAACTGAACTCAAATCCCATAAACCTTCAACTTCTGTTTTTCTTACAGCTCTCACAATACTCCGTCTCCCTTCTGGATTTTGAGGTGCTGCAAAAGTGGCTTCTTCCTCACTTTTCTGAACTTCAACTGGCAATTTTCTACTTCAGTACTGAGGTTAATAGCGAAGGACTCCCAACAATATTGGAGGCTTTCAATTTACACTGTTTCCTTTAGTCTCCTTTAAACTATGTTTTCCAATTAGGCTTTTGTGTACTATTTAATGCTTCTAATAATCACAAGCCTGGGCAATGAATTATTTCTCTCAGTGAAGACCAAGTGTTAGAACGCCAGTGAGGTACTTATTGTGAAAGAAAACAATTATTAGCTTGAAAGACCAGCTGTCATTCCCCAGCACATGGGAGATATTAAATAAAAGCCTCCTCTGCCTCTCAGCTCATCCTTCCAGACGCAATGAAGGTGCTGCCAGTGTACATGAACTGTCTGCTGAAGAGCACTGTGCTGACTGGCAGACCAGAAATTCCAACTGATGAGAGGGCGTACCATCGACAACTGGTCATGTCTATGGGAGTAGCTGATACACAGCTGTTCTTCTATCCCCAGCTTCTGCCGATAGTAAGTATGTTATCTGCACATCTGTTAGCTGTCGGTAAAACTGTTTTCATTTTAAATTGCTGTGATGTTTTCAACTGTAAAGATGTAGATTTTCTCTGTGCCACGCAGCTGCTACATGGCCAAGCTGGATTAGTTTTTTTAAAGGGAAGTAGTTGCTAGCTGAACTAAAAGTAGGAGGGAAGAACCCCTAGTTTAAAGAAAACAGGGAAGTAACATGATCCGTCACTGCCACCAGCATCCTCTCATAACTCCACTGTATGCTTAACATGAGCCTGGTTTTTGAGCTGGCTAATAAAAAATGCCAGCTTTAGTCAAGCTCGAGCCTGGTGTGCTCAAGCTTCATATTTGTGGAGAGGTGCTCTTTAGCACGTAATGTACGAATTGAAAAAGAAGTGACTCCTGATTTCCTCCATCTGGAAAGGAACCACTAAGGTGTAATAAACCTGTTGTTATTACTTTTCAATGTCTAGTTAGAGCATCGCTCACCTTGAAGTCCCCATGTTTGCAACTTACGCACATTTTGCCCTACAGCACAACCTGGATTTGAAGAGCGACGCTGTGCCAGCTGCAGTGCGCTGCTCTGAGGAGCGTCTCTCAGAAGGAGGGGCCTTCATTCTGGCCAATGGTCTGAGCATGTTCCTGTGGCTGGGGGTCAGCACGCCCCCTGAACTCATCCAAGGGCTTTTCAATGTGCCGTCTTTTGCACACATCAGCACAGAAGCTGTGAGTATATGGAGGGAAAACAGTCCATTTTTCAGAACTCATGATTTTGGAAGGCCAGGCCACTGATTAGCGAAACGACTGAGGGAACTTGGAGCATTCATCATTCAACTATAAGCACAAATGGGTGCCAGCAGAAGCTGTTAACACACCAAAAGTAATGCATAAAAGCTCATAAACTATCGACAATTCCAAGACAGCTTTCACAAAGTTTTCAGAGAATCTTAAACTTATGTTATGACATATTAAAATCCTACTGAATATGCATTGGTGAAACTGCAACAAAGCATTCTATGGTAGCTAAAGCTTCTCCTGTAGCCTGAACTTTTCCTGATAATGAATTTTAATGTAGTGATTATTTTAAACTCAAAAATGGCTTAAAGACTGATTGGTTATTCTAGAAGCTTTCCCAAAGGAGATAAAGCATTACCCAGGTTAGAATGACACCCACAGTAATACACATCATAAATACCAGCAGCTAGTCTTGTACAAATTGTTAATGCGACTGGAAAGTAACAACCAACCTGTGATGCTTCATTCTAACAGACATTACTGCCTGACCTGGCCAATCCCTACTCTAAGAAAATTAAGTCAATAGTGGAGCACATCCAGAACCAGAAGCCCTACACTATGAAGGTAAGAGTTTTCTCAGTGTCAGCCTGTTCCTCACAGCTGTTCAGAAGAACATTACAAGCTGTGATAGATTTTCTTGTAGTTGTGAAAGGCTTTTTACATACCAGGAATCTCCAAATATGCCACTGAATTCCAGCATGCATTCTAGGCAGAAGCATCTCAAACGTACTTAATTTAATAACTGTTACTTAATTATCCATTCAGGATTTTCAGAACTACCCTGAAAAGTCAGTTTTTTTCTGCAAACCTTCCTTCACACTGGCTCTTGGTTTCACATAAGTTGCTCTCCTGTGTTTCTAAGTACAGCTACTGAAATGTCATTACCAATGTATTGTTGTTTTTTGTCTTTTTTTGGTTTTCCTTCAGTAGCATTCCATAGTAGGTAGAGGAAAATGGTACTGCTACTTACTGTGATGGTATCCTAGAAATATGTACGTCTCTCTTTTCAGCTGATGATAGTGAAACAACGGGAGCAACCAGAGATGCTATTCCGGCAGTTCCTCGTAGAAGACAAGAGTATTCATGGAGGAGCTTCTTACGTGGATTTCTTATGCTGTGTTCACAAAGAGATCTGCCAGCTTCTCAATTAAAGAAACTTGAGTATATATAATTTACTTTCCAATTTTGCAGGAGGGACAGTCATCGGTGCCTGAAGGCTGGCCCACAACTTCAGTGTACCCAGACATCCTGCTGTGCTTTACCAAACTTTCTCTGTGCTCTTTTTGTACAGTTTCATTCCACTCAGCCACTCACCAAATATTTAGTTTACTTATTAAGCTGTAGAATAGAAGTTCTGCACTCAGGTATTAATCTTTGAGGAGTCCTGACTCTAAGCTGAATTGCCAGATTTCAAACTGTCAATGCTTAAGAGCATTTTCAAGTACCAAAATATAATTTAGAAAATAACTATTTGAATCTATTACTAGCCGTAAATCGTTTAAGAGCCAGGAAAGATGCTAAAAATCCACACAGAAGGAAAAAGTTGTAAGATAATGCTTTTTCTAGAAGTGAGAGCACACAGCTGAATCAGTTCTGCAGAAGTCCTGCAGTTCAGTTTGAGTATTTCAAAGTCCTGCGTGTAAAACTAAGAACTCTAGAAAATAATTCCCTTCTTCCCAGAAAGGGCAAGTATTAATTTTCAACAGAAACAGAGCTGTGGGTAACCTTCTACACCCACAGGTATCCAGGACACAAAAATGTCTCTGTTTTATAACTGGACTTCAATAAGCGAGTTCAACAATGGAGCACAGGACAAAGAGCAGTCAAACTATGCTTATTCTAAGCTTGGTAGTTAGCGGCACGCTGTTATGGCACAATCCTCTAGTTTTCAGGGCAGCAATTAATCGAGCATGCTATTTAATTACATTTTCAAAACCATGTTGTGCTTTATTTAGCACATTTGTTAACTGGAATAACTCCCAATAAAACTTAGCTAACCATCTGCTTCTCTCACAGTTACAGTGGCAGGTCAACAGTGAGACAGTTGACAAGTTAACTAAAGGTGAGTTGCAGTGCTATAAAAGGAAAGCTTCATGTTTAACACCAGTCCTGTTACAGGGACTGATGAATAAATCAGTCATCACTTAGAAAAATAAATTTCTGTTACTATCAATAGTTAAGGTAGAACTTAGAAAGCCAGTCTTTGGCAGGAAGAGCTGTTTACCTCAGTGCTTCTTCAGGCTGTAAGTTTAAGACCAGTGCCTCTACACACAACATTTGAATTTCTCCAGACTTGAAAAGCTTGTTACAAATATCAGTATTTCACAGAAGGCAAAACCAAAATAGAACACAGCCTCACAAGAGAGTGTAAGACATGGGCCTCATAAAAAAAAAAAAAAGTGCCTTTGATCATGCTCGTGTCATTAACTAGTATTTATCCTTTTCATAGATAAAATAAGCAGTCCAATGCACATTCTTGACAGCTCACCAAAACAGCTGCATCCTTGTGCACCAAACAACTCTTAAAAGAAATGGATATATTACAAAAGGTCACTCACACCGAATTCAGCTGTCAAAATAAGCACTTTGCTGGAGACATTTTACTTTGTAAAAAGTACTTGTTGCCTTTCCAGATCAGCGTACTTTGTAAAAATGACAGCAGCAACTCTGATGTGTAAAAACACAAGGAATTATTAAATATAACACATGTGTTTATTGTAAGACAATGTCTCACTTTCTTTTTTAATTTTAATGCTATCAGCCTCTCTATCAAAAGCTATCCAGTACCTCTTAAACTGTACCATCTAAAACTGGCACCCACGACACTACAGAGGGCAGTTCTAGGATGACCAGCAAGGGAAACTTGCTTCAGTTCGCACAACTCCTCCCCTGCTGTTCCTCCCATACACACAAGACAACGTAATCACCACACTGACCAGGAAACAAAGCAAAGTTAAAGGCGCAAGAGCAATTAGTTCCTACCAAGCAGAGACAACGTTCTGGCACAACCAGCAATTAGTGAATATTAAGGGTTTGACCAATGTAGCTCATCTCCTACTCAAGGAAGCTTACTCTGGATTGTAGACTTCTCAGTGTTTAGTTCCTCTGTCAGCATCAAGCTCAATCTATGGTAGGAAGACTCAGTGGAAGGCTGAAGTGTCTCTCCAATGCCAAAAATAAAAGAAGCAAAATAGCAAGCCCGGTTAAAAAAAATATGTCAAGTAAACCTTTAGAGATAACACAGTAACACTTAGGTGAATCACGGAATGGTAGAGATGCTGGGATTCTCATAGATAAAGGCACTGTAATTAGGGAAGTGTCTGTACTCAGCTACTGAGCAAAGAGTTCTTTTCAGCTAAAGCATCTTTTCAATTCTAAAAGCTAAAGTTCTTTTCAATTAAAGCATCCCCCCTCAGAGGCAGGGCAAAGCTGCTCACACAGTTTGCTCCCACTACAGCCACACTTGCTTATAATCTAATCCCTTACCTTATGCCATTCAGTTTGCTGATCGCCAGAAGACCGCATTTGTACCACCACTGTCTTCTCTTTGGTCAGTTCAGGCCACATAAATAACAGCAAGAACTTTAGGACACCTGTTTTACATCTACAATTCTGGAGCAAGGTGTCAAACATATTTCCACACTGCATCTTATTTCAGACCACAGCAGCAGCAAATTCACCACCACTGCTGTAGCTAGTAGCAGGTTTACCACTTCCCCAAATTCCACTTGATAATACCAACATAACTGAGATATATGTACAAAATTAGTAAACAAATAATGTTTAGTGATAGTACCTTTGCTAGGCAGTGGAGCAAAGCACCTCGTATCATTCCCATGTGTCATCCGCATCACGTAACAGAGTTAAGAGGTGAAGGATTATTCTGTCTGAACTTGCCTTTAAGGAAAGGAATATCTGGTTGTGGTAGCACAAAAACCAGGCAACAGTTCTCTGCTTGCTTGCAGCAAGCGGGTCAAAAGGGCACAAGAGCACCATGGAAACACAGCAGGCAGTGGCATCCTACCCCTGACCACTGCTGACCTGTCTGAGCTGCTTCTAATTACAGACACTCCCAAACTGCACAACCCTCAGCATCACCCCCATTAAAAGGGGAAGGATTCAGCCAGGCTGAACACCAGAGTTGTGCACCTACATTCAACAAACCTTTGCTTCTCTTTCATAAGATAGAGACACCAACAAACCAATGTAACTGTGCTAACTCTGCCTTTCTCTGAACAGACAGTCAATAAGAAGAAGGCAAAGCTGAGCTCTAACAGTTGCTGCTTTTGAGTATTTTTTGTAGAACTAGGCACTGGCTAAACCAATTATTTTAAAGCTATGAAAAAATGAGATGTGATACATTAATCTGTAAAGTTAGTAAAAATGTATTCATTATATTAAAGTGCACTTTAAAAACTACTGGCCTGGCAATCCAGTGGTATGTATTAAAGAAAATCTTTAGTAGGCCCTTTGTGCACAGACTGCCCAAGAGTGCAGGCATCTTCCCTGAATTTGAAAGAGGCAAAAACCGAGCCATTTCTTTGGCTGCCTGGAAGAATCACAGCAGTGTCTATATAATCACAAGACAACCCTGTTTATTTGGTTTCAGGCATAAGGAAGTAAAAGCTTTCAAAATTACACTTCAAAAGATATTTATTTTAGATACCTTTCCCTCTATCCCCCTTTCTCACAACTTAGATGAGCGTAATGGAAGCGTAAGTAAGGGAGAAACTTTTTTTGTTTGAAAGATACAGAATAGCTTTTCCTCTTAGTGTACAACTGTCCTTTATACGGGGCTTGGGTGTCCAAGAAGTTTGTGTTTATGTCATGATACAATGGGAAAACACGTGCAGGTTTCTACCTAAGAAGAGTTTAATTTGCCAAAAGAAAGCAGAGTTCCTTTACGATTAGTGTGCAGTTTTACTTCATCTGTTCAACACAAATCAAGTAGAAAATCTAGTGAGACAGCAGTACTGTCACTTGCGCCCACATCCCCATTCTGTACTGCCACTACGGCTATTTTCCAGGCATTACTCAACATGCTACATGTAATTCTACACAAAAAAAATGCTCTAAAAACTTCATAAAGCAAAATGAATTCTATGCCCCATTAGGAACACATCCACATCACTTACCTATGTACTTAAAGCCTGTGGAGAGAGCAGGAGTTCATATGCAGAGCTGCTATCCAGAACAAAGTTTTAGCAAGATACAGGTAGGTGCACACCCCATTCATCAGAGCACCAGCCTTTCACACGCTGTCACTTTCACCTACGCTAAGGTGTCACAGTGACTGACCTACCACCGAGATACATCTTCATGTGACGTACAGCAGCTCCTGCAATGACCATGAAAGCTGTTACACACACATCTAAGTAGTGCAATTCTAAGCTCTGGCATAAGTGTTAAGATTACAACACTCAAAAACTTTAGTTAATCATAGTTAGGACTTGTTTTTCCCTCTCTTTCTTTAATTGCTACAGTAATCACACTCAAAATTATTCCACGTTTTTCCACAAACTTACCTTGCTTTTTCAACTATGGAAACGACCCTGTTACATGCAGGTTAGTAAGCTTTCCTTGCCTTTATTAGGTTGACCTTCACCCCATTATATGAGTCGATTCCCACTACAGTAATAAAGGTGCCAACATCACCCTTTGGGTAGAAGAACATACACAGAAACAGGGGTCTCATTACCTGTCACTTTCAGTTACTCAATATGTCCTCAAAAAGCCATGTTCAAGAAACAAACGTATGTGTTCAATGTTTCAGTGAGCTTCATCTTTAGAACACGTTCTGGATACTTCTGTCCCCTGCCAAGGATTTCAGAAAATCACAGTGCTCTAAAATTAATTCCTTGACTCGATGACATTTAACCACCATTTTCCGAGCAAAACTGTTTGCAACCTAAATTCCACTGACTAAAGCACCTATGAACAACAAGCCCGCGTTCACGGTACTGCCTAGGGAAAAATCTTAAAAAATTCTAAAAGCACTGCCTACTAACTTACACAGATCTCTTGCATCTCAACCAATTTATCTTAACTGACCATGTCAGAATGGAAGGAATCCATTAACCTAAAATGGCTGGATTTGCACACAATCGTTAGCAGCTGACTGGTATCCTGAAATCCCTTTCAAGCTAAATGCTAAGACATTTCAAGTATCTTGTCAATGTAATTGTCAACTCCTTCACCTGATTTATACAGGGGGTATATAGCATATTTCAAGTCCTATAAGCCTCTTCCAAAATGGAAAGACATGACAACATCAAGACAGGCATCCCAAATCAGATTGGTGGCTTTATGTTCTCATTAAAACTAGAAAGGAAGAAATTTGTTAGGCTTTTTATCTTCAAAGATAATGTGCTGAAATTAAGGCAACTGCAGCAAATGAAATATTCATCAGTTCCTTGACAATGAGTGTTATCCTACTTCTGTTAAAGCATTAGAACTGAGAAAATAACTGAAAACTTTTTTTTTTTTTCAAAGCTTTTCATCTCTAGTCACAACTTCAGATGTGGCCCAAATTAACAGCAATTTAAAAAAGCAACCATGCGTTTTCACTGTGTTAAGCGGGGGGAGAAGCAGCAGTTACTCACTGCAGCATTTTCTATCATCTCCACAATCCCAAGAACGCTCCATTTATGTGCTACTTTGTTACCTTTAGAGGCAATCCACAGTTGAAACACCACCTTCAGAATACTTCCAGGGAGCAACTTTTCTTCAATGATGACATGTAGAAAAACTTACTTCCTTCCCAGTCACCTCAATTAGAAAAGTAAGGAAGGTTGCTTGTTAACAATACGTACATTGCAATTCCTTTGTGAAGATGGGGCAGCCAGATAAATAAAATCTACCGCTCATGTATCACACATCACAAGTCTCAAGCAACATCCTGGCTTCTGCAAACTAATACAGAAACAACTCAGCTACGTTTTTCTGAGTCTCATCTTCAGTGCAGGCCATACCAAGCACCAAATGACCACCTGTGGACATAGAAGAAAATGGCAACTCTCGTTTCTCTCTTAGAATTCTAAGGAAGAAAAAAAGATCCGCCACTGGTACACAGGCTGCCTTTTTAAGGTTGTCTTCAGTATTTACGTTCTCAGTAAGGACATCATTAGGGCAAAAATCAAGAAGAAAATGTTTTCTTACTGCAGCATAACATCTATCAAGTGCTGCTGTAAGCAGTGTTTGGCAGGCTGCTGTTAAAACACACCCCCTCCTCCCAGTTCCAGCCACTCTTCAGCTTTCCAAGTCTAACAGCAAGAAACAAAACATAAACAATAGGTGAATTTCATTTATCCTTTAACAGCCCCTTAATAAATACACCATCAAGGCTGTGAAGTTGACCAGACCCTACAAAAATGTTCATGCTAAGATTTCACGAACACTTGGTGCCTCCTCTTTTCTAACAGTAGATAGGAAACCACAATAAAACTTACTTATTCCAAAAACCTTAAGAAAGTAAACTCACAAAATATTAACAAGAATATTTCAACATTAGCTTTGATAAACAAGTTTAATAATTCACTACTGTACAGAACAGTTACTTTAGACTTCAACAGATAAACATTTTGAGACTTAAAATCCAATTTTCCAAAATCCATACCTACGAATTGTAAGACTTCAACAGCCAGATTTGTTCTGTCTGCCAAGTGTTGTTCTGGAAGTTCGGAGTTGCAGTTTTGCTAAAAACAAGTGCTGTACTGTACTGTACATACCAAATTGCTTTCTTTCTATACCGTATTCTGGACCCGATCACCAATAGTCTATTTCCAATCCACACCAGGTCAGCAGGCAAAGCAAAATCCTTGGTTTGGTTGCTGAGACTTCATCATTCAGGTGATTACTTTCAGGAAGCTGTCACTGATAGCATTACCTCACTTCCACTATGGCCTCTGATGAGGTCTTTCTATTATACACAGTGCAATTGCTCTGCAATGAAACTGGGCTTCCCTACTGAAGATGATGACTATTAACAGAGGTAGGGTGAAAATCCTTACTCAAGAAGCAATCCAGACCTACACGGAAGTTCCGGACAGGATATAAACACACAACCTGTTACTCTTCATGAAACACAACGTGTGACTGCACAGAATTACCACTCTCTCCATTATAGGCATGAAAAGTGAGTGCATATACATCATAAAACAAACATAAAACTTGTTCCTTATTCCCAAGAAAAATTCGGGAAACTTAAACCAAATAAGAAAAAATAGAACTCTATTTATTTGCTTCTTAGTTTAAAAGAAGTTAAAATTGGTGTCAATATTGACACAGCAGTTTTTCTTCCATGAGTAAGAGAATAAGTCTGCCACTGCCATGCAATTCAGAACTGCATTTCATGCCTAATCCCCCAAATTAATGCAAGTCAGTCCAAACCTGGAACTGTAAAGAATGAAGAAGAATCCATGTTGTGCAGGAAATTACCGTTAAAAAAAACCCATAACTTGCAAGTACTTGCAATACAGGAACAGCAAGTATCTTCATTTCAGTCTCATCTGCAGTTTAAAGAGATGGCTCTGCTTTGACAAACAGAGCTGTCAGGAGGCCCAGTTTAGCACCTTCAGGTGCTGCTGCCAAGTGAGGTGATCTGCCTGGCCAGTCACTGGAAGGCAGACTATTTGGAATTGCTTGCACCAAAAATAATTTTAAAAGTCACGGAGCTTGTGCTTCAATAATAATTCATTTTAGCAAAAGAAATATTAAGAAGATTCAGAGATGGGACAAGGGACTGGGGGAAGAAGCAATTTCCTAAAAGTCATCAGCGTGTGGGGAAGCCTCCCCTGTGGGTACCTCCTCGTCCCCCTCTGAAGCCACCCCTCTCACCCCGAAAATTAGTTCTGTTCCTCTCTCTGCCGCGCTCTCCTCGGCCTGCTGAAGTCCCACCTCTTCCTCCTCCCCTCGGAGCACCGCCTCCACGGTCAGACTTCGACTTGGGTGGTGGTGACTTGGGCCGAAGTCTCTCGATCTCTTCGGTGCAGCCAGTCAGGTGGGAATTTGGAGCAGTGAAATATGAAGAGTACGTTTCTGCATTGAAATTACTGTTTGTGAGGGTGGGTCCTACAGTCAGCCATCCTAAGGAACAAAACCAGAGTCAATGAAAGCAATAACAAATGTCATGCTTGGAGGCTTTAATTTCCTTTTTCCCATTAAGTGAACATCAAGTGATAGGAACAGATACTTATCTACACATTGGACAGAATGAAAAAGATCATCTCTAGGAAAGTCACAGTTGATAAAAGTTGATTTTACATTAATTGGTAATGGCTTTTTGTGTTGTTTTTTTGTTTGTTTTTTTTTTTGCAGGGTGGAGGGCTGGGGAGGGAACATCCAGGTTGTAGTTTTGCAACACCCCTTCCCACCTGTTCCTATGCTGCATCTTCCAGCTTCTCTGCTGAGATTGCACTGTAAACCAGATAAAAAAATTCATCTAGTTTAAAGACAACCTACACCTCTCCTTTTTCTGCCTTTTTTCAAAAGGTGCTTGTCTCAAAAAAAGCCAATCAAGTCAGCACAGCCAGGAGCACAGCATGCTGTAAACATGCATCTGAAGACAAAATAACAATGCTGCTGCTGAATCCTATGATGCGCAAACAGAGCTTAGAGTTAAGTCAATCCATTTAGGTACAAACGTAGCAGTCAGTGAGCCCTTCAGCTTTACCACTTGAACCAAGGAGGCAGGCATTTAAATCAAGTACGTTCGTATTTCTTTGCAATATGAACTAAAATTGGGTTGGGTCATTTGAAAATGTCACTGGAAATTTAATTTTTAGTTCATCATCTTACTGAAGAAAAACGTGGCTCAGTGATCTCAACAATGTATTTTAAGGAAAACAAGAATTCAAAGAAACACAAAAAAAAAAAACCCATGTCTGTTTGTTCAGGTTTTCACAGTTCACAAAGCACTGTGAAGATCCACAAATTCAAAACTGAGTAATTCTACACTCAAAATGCTGATTGGTAAGAGCACTGTGCTCTGCCAACTTCTTGAACAAAGAATAGGAGATTTAGAGTATGCAATCCAGTAGCAAGATAACCATTACATTTAAAAAACAAAAGACTATTAGACAAATATGGAACAGTGTGACAGTAACTTACAAGGCTTTACCTACAACAGCACTGAAGTAATGTCTAAATAATATTTTTCTACTTGAAAAAAAATAAGAACAATGCACATCAAGGAAGAAATCCCAGCAATGCAATGCTACGGGCTCATCAAAGAACAGCTGATGATCTCTCTCACTTCTCTATAGTATTGTGAGCAGAAGTGAAAAAACACTTGGATATTATCTTAAGTAAAACACTGCCTACAGCTCACCTACTGATACAGCTCCTTTTCCAACAGCCATAAAAAAACCCAAATGTTTCCTATCGTATGTATTATTAGCATTCACATTCAGCAAGCAGGCCATGGTTGGACTTGTATCCATTTCTCCTCTGCCATCCAAACAATTAGTCTCTAATTAGTGGGAAACACTGCTATACAAAACTGCAAGAAGAATCTAAACCAAGAGCAACCACTACACTTTCACCTGTCCACACCTCCTTCCCCTTTATTTCCAAAGGAGCACGCTGTACCATAACTGTTGAGAGACCAACACAGAACCCGTCTGTGCAAAGCATGAGCACACTATCCATAACATCAGGTACAAATACGCTCACTTCAAATACTCGTGGGTAACTGAAAGATACAGGGCACTTGTACTCTATTCCACATTAGATTTTAAGGCAGAAACAGCAGTCTATCCTCCTGCAGCGAAATTCCTTCATCAAGTACACGATAAATTGAAAAACCTGACTAGTAAGACAAATAAAATGCGGTGACCTTCAATCCAAACAGTACATTTATATGTGTTTTCTACCATGCTAGATGAAACACTCAGCGTAAGACTGCATCTTGAGATACTGACAGTAGGACTGACTCCATGCTCAAGGGAGTTTAAAATCAGTTTAGAAAAAGAAACAATGCTCCTATAAAGTATAACCCCTTGTAACGTGGGGAAAATTAAATGTCAGCTGATATATTTTTTTTTTAATACGCACTGATGAATTGAAGACCAGAATAAGTGAAAAACACTGGTTAAAAAAAACTCTGAAAATGTGATAGCTGTCACAGACCTGCCAAACAGCATGGCTTCCTGACAGAAAGATCTTCACATTAATTAAAAATACAGCTCCTTGAAATCTATTGTCTGACACATTACATATCTCTGGAAATCTCTCTGGGATATTTTTAAAAGCAGAGAGATCTGCTACTGTGTCTTGTAGTGAGAAAGACATTTCGATTTTTATAGCTTCAGTGATGTTCACTTCACTACAGTAATTCCAAAAAGCTGAAGGTCAGTAGGACGGAAATATATGAAGTGTGACCTCACAAGGCAGAAATCACACAGTCCAGTACTCCAGTAGAGTACTGAACAATTTCAGCATTTACTTTCAATTACAGATATGGGGAAAACAGAAGTCTAAAGCTCCTTCTCATTGTTCTATGTTTACTTCTAAAAACATTTATGAAAAAAACCAGAAAGCAGTGGTAATCTTAACCTGCGATGCGGACTTGTTCCTATATGCAACAGTAATAGCAGAAATTGGAACCATAACTGTAATATTGCTTGTTATGGTTCTGTATGAAAGGCATGCACGTGAGATCTAAGGGTCTAGCAAAATTTTCTGCTATCAGATCATGGGGGATAGAACATTAACTAGATGAGAAGTCACTTTTTACTATCTAAATA